CTTGTGCTTGTGTATGAATTTGTATGTATAAATTTGTGTATATAATAAGTATATGTATGTGTGTAGAAGTGTTACATATAGGTATAATTTTTTTGGAACCACCATTTAATTTGGAAATTAAATTCTAAGACATTGTGACACTTTCCCCATGAGTATTTCAGCATTTGTTTATCGAGAGGATATTGTGCTCCACTCCTTGATACTATTATCCTATTTAACAGTAATTCCATATATCATCTCATGTATGGCTCCATCTTCAAATTTCCTCATTTGTATCCCAAAATGTCTTTATTTTGGAATAATTTTAGATTTTAGACAGTGAGTCCAGAATTCTCTTACACCCTTCACTCAAGTATCCCCATTGCTCGGTGTTTTGTGCCTCAATACTTCCATCTTTCTTTGGACGTATTCCTAGATATTTCATTTTTGTTGCTATTGAAAGTTTATTTTTCAATATTTGTTACTAGTATATAGAAATACATTTCATTTGTCTTTTAGATTGATCTCATATCCTGTGACTTTTCTAAATTCACTCATTAGTACTAGAGGGTTTTTTGTAGATTCCATGGTGTTTCCATGTATGTCATAATTTAATCTATGAATAATAAAAGTTTCACAGAAATCCCTATGTCTTTAACTTTCTATTTTACACTTCATTGTACTGTTTTATTAATAGATGTAGTGGGAACAGACATTCTTAGTTTAGTCTTTATCTTCTAGGAAAAGGTTTAATATTCATCATTAAAAATAGCTAGCTCTAGGTTTTTCTTAGATGCCCTTTAACAGAATAAGGAAGTTCTTGTTTTCAGTTGATAGAAACATTTTTTTCAATAATAGTTGTAGGCCAGGCTCAGTAGCTCATGCCTATAATCCTAGCACTCTGGGAGGCTAAGGTAGGTGGACTGCTTGAGCTCATGAGTTCCAGACCAGCCTGAGGCAGAGCAAGACCCTGTCTCTAAAATTAGCCAGGCGTTGTGGCAGGAGCCTGTAGTCTCAGCTACTTGGGAGGCTGAGGCGAGAGACTTGCCCAAGAGTTTGAGGAAGTTGCTATGAGCTGTGAAGCCATGGCACTCTACCAAGGGCAGCAAAGTGAGACTCTGTCTCAAAAAAAAAAAAAAGATGTAGAATGTTGTCACATACTTTTTCCATATTAATTGATGTGATCATATATATATATATATATTTTTTTTTTTTTTTTTGTGGTTTTTGGCTGGGCCTGGGTTTGAACCCACCACCTCTGGCATAAGGGGCCGGCACCTTACCCCTTTGAGCCACAGGCACCGCCCCAAGTGGTTTTTTTTTTTTTTGCCAGGCCTGGGTTTGAACCTCCCACCTCCGGCATATGAGGGCTAGCGCCCTACCCTTTTGAGCCACAGGCGCTGTCATGTGATCATATTTTTTCCTTTATTCTGTTAATACTGTGAATTACATTTTTTTTTTGATGTTAAACCAACTTTGTATTTGCAGGAGAAATCCGATTTTCGAGATCATGATACATTATCCTTTTTGTATATTGTTGGATTTGCCTCCCCAGTATTTTGTTCAGTATTTTATAAGGGATACTGCTCTGTAATTCTCTTGTAATGTGTTTGTCAGGTGTGGTACAGGGTGATGCTGACCTCATAAAATGAGTTTGGAGGTCTTTGGTATCCCAGTTCTAGAGTTTATATAGGATTAGTGCTGTTTCTTTCTTCAATTTTTAACAGAATTTACTGACAAAGTCATCTAGGGCTGAAGTGTTCTTTGGGATTCAATTTATTTACCAGACGTAGTGCTATTTAATTCATCTGTTTCTTTTTGTGCCTCATTGGTAAGTTGTATATTCCAAAAAAATTTTCCATTTCATCTAATTTATTAGATCTGTTGGTAGGAAGTTGTTACGGTCCTTCTAATGCCAGTAAGATCTGTAGTATGACTCCTTTTTTGTTCCTTATATTGATACTTTGTGTTCTCTCTTTCTTTTTTTTTTCCTTTTTATTTTTTTTTAGAGACAGAGTCTCACTTTGTCAT